TCAAACACGAGCCCTCAGGAAGTAAGAGCAGGGTTTATTGAAGGTATAGAGAGAGTAGATGCGGAGAGAACATCTGGTAGGCTTGAAAGGAAAGGAGAAAGAGTCATCTTTGTTTGGGGTCTGGACTTTCTATTGGCGATGGTGATCTGGTACACATGTCCTCTTAGGCATCCAGGACCTAGTCTAACAAGGGTGAGAGCTCAGGTGTCCTCTCTAAGTCACTTATACCTTGGAGCCAGGAGTCTTGGCCTCAAGGCGTCTGGAGTCAGTGGCTTGGAAAACGTACATGACAACCTCACCTGATCAATCCTTTAGGTGTTAGCTATTCTGCTAGAAGACTCCAGAGAAATCATGAACTCCTTGACCTTCACAAGGACAACATACAGCAAGGCCTGTGTAAGGTGGGGGTGCAGGTCCTAGGAGGAACAGAGACAGGAAAAGGACAAAAAAAAAGTTTTGTTTAGTTTTGTTTTTTAAGTAGGATTCCTTCAGTTTCCCTTTTTCAAAAGTACAATCAGGGAACTCTAATGTAAACTATGGATTCATTTTGTTTAATACTGATGTGTCAGTGTTAGTTCATGGATTATAACAAATGCGCAACCCTTCCCAGATGCCAAAGGAGGGAGGACCTGCGTGCATTGCGGTGGGGGGAGAGGTATAGGGGGACACCGTGTGTTCTGCTCAATTTTGCTGTGCATAAAACTGCTCTGAATATAATACCTGTTATTTAAAAAATGTAATCCTTTACCTTACGCCTCCCAGATTGGCTGAAATGAAAGAAACAGGAAATAACAAGTGTTGGCAAGGATGTGGAGAAAAAGGAACCCTTGTACACTGCTGGTGGGAATTTAAATTGGTGCAGCGACTGTGGAAAATGGTATGGAGTTTTCTCAAAAAATTAGAAGTAGAAATACCGTATGATGCAATAATTCCACTACTGGGCATTTATTTACCCAAAGAAAGCCAAAACACGAATTCAAAAAGATACATGCACTCCCATGTTTCCTGCAGCATTATTTACAATAGCCAACATAGGGGAGCAACCTAGGACTTCACCGATAGATGAATGGATAAGGAAGATGTGGGTGGAATATGATACAGCCATTAAAAAGGATGAGCTCGTGAGATTTGTGACAAAATGGATGGACCTAGAGGGTAGTATGTCAAGTGAAATAATTCAGATTGAGAAAGACAAAACCATTTCATTTCACTCATATGTAGAATGTAAAAAAAAATAATTCCAAATGAATAAACAAATAAAAAGCAGAATCAGACTTATAAACATAAAATAAATTATAATTAATCCTTTAGGGCATTTGGGACATTAAAAATCTCTGACTACTAATCTGAATGTTTTTTTCACATTAATTGAATGTAATAGTTGATATGTTTGGGTTTTGTGCTTTTCTTTACCTCACTTGGTCTTTACCTAGTCCTTTAAAAATCCTTTCTACTCATTTATAGTCCATAATTTTTTTCTAGTTTGGAAAGCATATTCTTTGATTTTACTTCTTCTTTTAAGCTAAAAATTATAAATCTTATCTTAACATACTGGTGCACAGAGTTATAAATACATTTACCTTCCTCCTGGGCAATATAGGGAACTTGGAATATTCATCCCTTTGTCCCATTTTGAGTACTATGATTTATTTTTAAAGATTTTATTTACCCATTTGAGACAGAGAGAGAGAGAACACAAGCGGTGGGGGATGGGTCTGAGTTAGAGGGAGAAGCAGGCTCTCTGCCAAGCAGGAAACCTGATATGGGGCTCAATCTCAGGGCCCTGAAATCATGACCTGAGCTGAAGGCAGACGCTTAACCGACTGAGCCACCCAGGCGCCCCAAGTACTATGATTTTTAGGGTATGCATGGTAACGCCTTTTTTCTAACTCCACAGGAGAGAATATTCACATTTGATACAGAGAATACACTATTAGAGGAAGCCACAGACACATGCCTTTCTCAGAACCTCACCACATGTCCCTGAACCACAGGTTATACTGGGAGTGAGAGGTGACAAGTAACCTATTTTGTTATAGTCTCCTGGAATTAGGTTAGGTTATGAGCATGAGTACTAAGACTGAGATTGAGGCAGTGACTGGATAGGGTTTTGGGGCTGTCACATAAAATAGAGGCAATGAGTGTTGAATGCACAAGAGGAATAAAAAATGCGTATTTGGTTACCAAATTGATGAACTGTATTGAAACTCGTGATACGCTCATCCATCTCTCTTTTTAAAAAAGATTTATTTATTCATTTGAAAGAGAGAAAGAGTGAGAGTGGGGGGAGGGCCAGAGGGAAAGGTAGAATCTCCAGCAGACTCCCGGCTGAGCGCAAGCCTGACATAGGGCTCGACCTCACAGCCCCTGAGACTATGACCCAAGCCGAAATCAAGAGCGAGATGCTTAACTGACTGAGCCACCCAGGCACCCTCAGCAATCTCTTTTCCTCCTTCTGTAAACCCTGCTTCCCTTCCCTTTAATTTGGACCACGTAAATGAGTTTGGGGGCAATGAAAAAGGGACAGAAGGGACCGTGAGATTATGTCCTCATTATGTCTTCATGTCGTGCCTCATTCTGGTACGGCCTCCTTGGACCTTGCTTTCCAGTTCTCCAGGAATCAGTGGTCCCTGGTGGGCTGCATGTTCGGGTGGTGGACTGATGGAGCCTTGATGAAGACAAGGCCTGGTAACCTCCAGCTGATGGACCTCAAGGATGTCTCACGATCAGATATTTGAACCTAGATTTGGCTGTTCTGAAGGCCACAGGATAGTCAGGAGAGGGGCAAGTGTTGGTTCCTGTGACAAAGATATTCTCCTTGACCAACCTCTACTTAGGCTCTTCTGAATTCTCTTCTCAACGAAGCCCTGACATTCAGACTTCCATGTTCCTGTCTGCGTTGTAGCAAGAATCCTTAAGTCAGTTTGACCAGAACTACCCTCCGTATCTGATCACTGGTGATATCTGATCGGGTCCCTCATTCCCCAACACCCCCTACCTGACAGGTGATGATCCCAGTGGGCCTTCAGCAAGAATCCTGTTAGGTTTAGTCAGAACCTCTCTTACCCCTCATGTCTTCTCTTAGTAATTTCCCATCCCTGAACCCCCACCTCTTCCTTGGCTATAAATTCCCACTTTTCTTTGTTCTACCTGGATCTCAATCCCCCTCTCTCACTATAAGCTCCTATGGCAGTGGTCCCTATATCTAGCACAATAGGGCCTGAGAATTGAGTCTGCCTTATCATTCCTCAGCAAGTGTCTTGAATAATTTTTTCTTCAATGCCTAAGAATTAGACATGAGTGATGACATGACACCCTGTGTAATGAACTTGACACCGTGTCATTTCCATGATGTCCACTCAAGCCTGAGGTGCTAACATCAAACCCTGATGTTCTCCAACGTTAAATCATGTGGCCCGTAAGAAGCCGTCCCTTATACAATAGGCCTACCTCTTGTTTATGAAACTCTCCTGCGTGATGTATTTTTTTCTGATGTATTTTAAATAAAATAGCCAAATGGTAAAAAGGGTGCTTTCATGTAAACATTATCACCATCACCCATGCTGTTTTTTGCTAAATTAGGGAGTCATTATTTTGACAAATATCCCAGTTATCCTGTAGAGAGCTGTCTCCGATTCGCCCTCTAACTGTGGGACTTGGGATGACAATGTTGTTGCTGCTGCTGATGGCTCTTACCTACGTAGCAGTAAACACGTGTGGGCCCTGTTACGTACCAAGAGACAGACACAAAAACACACGCACGCGCCAGCACGAGACTGGGCCCCACCTGCAGAACTTCCGAGTCCCTAGGTTTGCGTTGTAGCCCAAGACCTTGCATTTTTAACAAATGGTGCTTCTGCTGGTTTGAGGAGCACTGAATTAGAGCTACGTTCACTATGAGTACACAGACCCTGCAGATCAGGTGTTGAGTTTTCATCAGTCAGTGTGAACCTGGGTCCTCCAGAAGGTCTGAAAGTGTAAGGGCCTACTTAGCCAGAGCGACTCCACGTCGGTGAAATAGCCATTTTGTTGTTTGTGCAGTGAAAGTTACACTGACCCTGTTCCCCCCACCACCCTAGAGGAACTTACTTAGAATCAAGTCTGGGAAACCAGTAAAATATGGTCGACCAGTCCCTGATAACAGCCCAAACACAAAGTCGGGTGAAGTCAGGGGGAGATAACAGAGCCCAGAATATAAGGACGAGTCAGGCCAGGTGGAGACATCCACTCTGTAAAGCACACAGACTATCTCCCTAACCACCAAAGAATGTAAACCCCGCCTTTTGGCGCCAAACTTGGGCGCCAATTCTGACCAGAGTGATAGGTTCGTTCAAAGAGCTACTATAGGGTAAATTGTAATTCAATTGCCCACCTGCATGTGACCTAACATGACTCTGCAACTTTCCCTGTGTGTTACAATCTCATTGGCCAAGCTCAACCACATGGCCTTTGCTCTATAAAAGCTAGTCTGTGAGGCTGGGGGTGGTCGCACTCTCCCTAAGAGACTCCCGGCTGGAAGCTTTTATCTTCAGTGCTAGCGCCAAATAAAGCTTTGCTTGACCTTCGCTTTGTATCAGTCTAGCTGATACAAAGAGTTATAAATACCTTTACCTTCCTCTTGGGCAATACAGGGAACTTGGAATAGTCATCAGTTTGTCCCATTTTGAGTACAAAATTTTGATCACCGACCATTTTGATCACCATTCTGGAACCCATCAAAAGGTGGAGCACTCACCTACACCCACGCACAAATTGGTCTCCCGTCAGAGTCCCCTAAGGGCGACTGGGACTTGGCTCCAGACAGAGCAGTCTGGGGATGGCCAGTGAAGAGGATAAAGCTGTAGGACCCCCCAACATCCGAGAACCAGCAGGAACCAGGGAGAAGCAGGAAAGCTGCGCACGCACCGCCCCGCCTTGGTGTCCTCTCCCACCTAACACCGCCCGCCCCCGTCAGGGCGCAGCTTCCCAAGCACCGCCCACTCCCACCGTCCCCAACACAGCCACCCCCGCAGTACCAGCCGGCTCCGCGCAGCCCGCACCGGCCGCTCAACATCCCGCCCCGCCCCCCCACCTCCCGTAACACAACCCAGCCCCGCCCCCTCGCACCGCCCTCCCAGCTCCGCGTTCCCGGGACCACCTCCTATCACCCCGCCGGCACCACCACCCAGCGTCCCCGCCCAGGACCCTCCCCCAGACGCGTCGCCACCCAGCGCCACCGACCCAGCACCACTTCCCAGAACTGTATCCCCCCGACCACCATCCAGCACGGCCCTCTCGGACCGCGCTCCCAGCACAACTACTTAGCCCCGACGCCCCCCAGAACCGCTCACTCAGCACATCCCCCACCACCGAACCACCACCCGGCATCGCCCTCCCAGCACCGCCTACCAGTACCGCCCCCAGCCCCCCGACTCAGCTCCGCTCCCCAGTACCCCAACCTTGCACCGCCCACCAGCACGGCCGTGGGCGGGACGGGAAACGCCGTCGGAGGAGACTGAACCTGGAGTCGCCTGGCGCCGGGCCAATGACAGGCCGGGAGCGCGGCGCCGCTTGGGGCCGGAACTTCCTGCGTTCCAGGCCAGCCAGTCCCGGCCCGGGCCGGGGGTCGCACACCCGCGTCACCCGGCCTTTCCAGAGCTAGGGGGCCGAGACCGGGGGACTGGGCCCCTGCTCCGCCCGGCACCCCAGAGACGCGGGTCCGCCAGTTCTGCCCGCGCCTCGCGTCGCACGCCTGCATCAGCCGGGAGCCCCAGGCCCCCGTGCCCCGGGTCAGGCGAAGCTGACCGGTCTCCGCCGACTCCGCTGCGAGCCCGGGCACGGATGGCGGCATTGGGCGCTGACCCGTCTCCGGCGGCTCCGCCGCGAGCCGGGTCAGCGATGGTGGTGGCGGCGGCGCTCAGGGCCCCGGCACAGGTGAGTGCACAGGTAGCCGCCGCGACCCCCACGCCCTTGTGCCTGGCGCCGGGACCGCGGAGGTGGCCTTGTCTGTCTCTATCCTCTCCCATTTCTCCTCGGCTTTTGAGTCTGGGGGCGCTGGAGGGGAGCTACGCCCAGCCTGGGGTGCTGGGTCCAGGCCGGAGGTGGTACCTCCAGAGCGCTTCGCATTTCCGAAATCTAGTGGCAGGAGGCGAGGAGAGGTTTCCTAGACACAGGCACCGGCGTGCGCGAAAGCTTGGCGGTGAGATTGAGCTGAGTGTTTGGAGAGCAGGTGGGAGACGGTGAGGCCCGGAATGGCGGGCTGAAGAGCTGTTCTGAGGGTGTTGGGAGCCATAGACGGTTTCGAGTAGAAGAGGGAGGTGATCTGACTTGGGTCTTGACGGGCTCCCTGTGGACGCAGAGTGGAAAACGGACTTGGGGATAGGGTGGAGACAGGGAGGGCAAGGAGCGCGTTATCGGAGTAGCTCAGTTGAGTAGTGCAGGTGGCTGGAGGCAGAAGTGATTGGATTCTGGATCCCTCTTTTAAGTCAGGCCGACCAGATTTTCCGATGTGGAAAGTGAAAAAGAGAAGGGATGGTTTTTGGCTGCAGCAGCTGGAAGGATGGATGCGCCATCAACTGAGATGGGGAAGTTGGTTCTAGAAGGAATTTTCAATATAAGAACAGAAGTGAGGTTTTGGCCCTGCTGAGCTCTGATGTCCCAGAGACCCCAGAATGGAGTCGAGTGGGCAGCTAGACACCGGATCTGTTGTGTGAGGGTGGTATAGTTCCAGGTCAGGAGAGGCCTAGTACACAAAGGGACAAAGGCCAGACCGTATATAAAAATAGAATTCTTACCCACAACCTGCAGGGACCTGCCCAGGAAACCAACCTCTTTATCTACAACAAACAACCCAGGACTCTAGCCCGCTTAAATTAGACTCGCAGGAAGCAAGATCGCTATCTCTAGTGACAATCCAGAAACAGTACCTTCTGTAACAACCCGCCCCACACGACCGGGGTGGGATTAATAACTGCCAGCTTCTCTAATTTTTGTTCCTACTTCCAGTCTGGGACCAAGGAGAGAAAACCAAACACGCACGCCTAACCAGTCACATAGGATGCCCCGCATCTAGTTAGATTGCCTACAGCCTCTCCTGGCCAGCAGGCCCCCAGTCAGGGCACATCTGAAGCCTTCCCTTTCCCGCTAAAGCTTTCCCACTCCTCTGCCTGCCTTTGAGTCTGCCAAAACATGAGCAACAGGGACTCTCTCCCTTCCTATCGCAAGCTCAGTATCAATAGCCTTTGCTCTTCTTACTTGGTTAGTCTTTCCACAGTTAAAATAACTAAAATGTGGTATCTGGTGCATGGACAAGAGTGCGGTTGTGTGTCCAGTTCAAGAGGGTGAACCTTCAGGTCATGGTGGCAGTGGTGTTAGAGGGAAAGAGGAAGGCGGGGCCTCTGATCTGAGAACGGGGTCTCTTGCTGGGACACCGTGGTTGGCTTGTTGGGTGTCATCGAGAAAGACATGGAGGAGTAGTTGTCCGGGTGTGGGGGGCGGGCAACGGGGTCTGGCAGGTGGTGTAGATATGGGAGGGGTGGGTAGGCTCAGTTGTAATGAAGGTAGTATTACGGCGAGCCCTGGGCTGGTGCTTGTTCACCGCTCTACATTCTCAGCAGGCCCTGTGGTACCCCTTGATAGGGCCCGGGGGTTTTCATTTGGGCTGGGAAATTAACTCAGTGGCACATGGGGTCAGCAGGGAGTGGGTGACCCTGAGGGTGGGGATCGGAGAACCCATGTGCAGCATAGAAGAGGAAGAGGCCCGAGGGTATCTGGTGTCTGTGTGGCTCTGCGTGGCTCAGGCTGAAGCTAGGAAAATGCTGGGCGGGGAGCCCTTCAAATCACGGGCAGGTGTTGCTGTTGGCAGTGGGAGCCATCCAAGGGTCTGGATGGGATCATGGTTGTGTTTGCTAAGAACGTTCTGGTTGTCGTGTGCAGAGTGATGACATGTGAGGGTCTGTAGCGATGCTGTGATGTGGGCAGGGATGGGGAGAAGGTACAGTGACAATGGGGATGCAATGGTGAGGTCCAGAGTCTGAGGAATGTGTAGTTCAAGAAGTGATACGCATATAAGGAGTGAGTGTGAGCTGTTGGCCCCAGGGCCTTGGTACTGGCCATTAAGGGAGAAGATTGAGTCCGTGTTTGTATATGGGAAGGATAATGTTGGTGACATGGGAGGGGCCCACAGAGGAGGGTGTTGGGCCCTGGTGTCTCTCTGCCCCCCTGCCCGCTGATGCTGTGGACTGACACAGAGGTCAGGTGAGGCATAGAAAAGAGCAAACACCAGTGGACCCAGGGCCTGGGATCTCCTCTGAGTTGGGAAGCTGGGGAGGAAGGGGAACAGGGGACAGACGGGAGTGCCTGAGGAGAGAAGCTGATCCTGGAATGAACTGTCCCCATTATGGCAGGGCTGTGTGACCTTTGAGGACGTGACCATTGACTTCTCCCAGGAGGAGTGGGGGCTCCTTGATGAGGCTCAGAGGCTTCTGTACTGCGATGTGATGCTGGAGAACTTTGCCCTCATAGCCTCGCTGGGTAAGGACTTCACCCCCACTGGGTGTCCTGAGCTCGTTTCCGCCTGTCCCCTTTTCTTTCACTTGGCCAGCCCTACTGGCACCGCTTCCTTCCCCACTCTCCCAGGATATGCGCTGCAGGTTCCAGGCCCAGGCCCAGCGCAGTGTCCCAGCCCCTCCCGGAGCAGCACCAGTACCTGCTGCCGCAAAGCATTGTGGGGAGGGGCCGTGAATGAGGAGTCCTGCGGGTGCCCCAGCGGATCCGGGCTGCTCGGCCACTCCCTGCCTGGGTGATCACATCCTCTAGCTAACGTTTCCTGGGGCCTGACCGCCACAACCCTGATGCGGTTCCCGCTTGCCGTGACCACTGGGATGTTCCTGCCGTACCTCTCTTGTGTGTTTCTGTTGTACTCTTTCACTTTCTTTCCTGTGGTCTGTCATCAGGTGGGTCACCTGGCCAGCTGCTGGCCACTTACCTGCTCTGTCTTTCATTCAGGACTGACGTCTTTCAGGTCTCACATAGTTGCCCAGCTGCAGATGGGGGCAGAGCCGTGGGTGCCTGACAGGGTGGACATGACGTCAGCCATGGCAAGAGGGGCGTACACTGGACTTGTCTCCGGTGAGTGGGGAATGGGGGGGCAGGTGATGTCACTGCTGTCTTCAGATCCCACCTACAGTGTTTCCTCAGGCTCATCATTGTTTTGGTGCTGAAGCCATTGTCCACATCTCTCTTCTACCTTTCCTTTTGTCTTCTTGACACACGGCCCACTTGTTTCTGCTCTGACTTGCGTCCCCTGGCTCACTCTTTACACAGCTCCCTCTGAGACTGTCTCCAGCGTGGACCTACACTCACTATGTCATGATAGGTGCGTATTCCCTTTCGTAGTCCGTAAACAACAGCTGCTCAGTTGCAGTCAGACGTTCTTGGACCTGGACACTCTGTTCTGCCTGGGGCTTGTGTGTTAGCAGCAGCCAAGGCCCTGCCAGAAAGCCTTTAGAGGAGGGAGTTGGAGTCCCCGCCTTCCGGCCCAAGACTAAGCCCCATCCTTGTGTCCTTGGGCCTGGCAAGGCCTCCCCTGGTTTGTGACCCGGCCAGGCACGGTGCTGCGGCAGGCCATTCCGTACCCCGGCGTCAGGCTCCTCCTCCTGCCCTCAGTCCCAAGGACTCATGCCAGGGTCAGGCATGATTTGTCATGGGCTGCTTCCTTCCCTCAGGGATCCTGGGAGCTTCACCAGCATTTCTCTGCTTTTAGGTTTTGGCTGTGGAGCGGAGGGTGAGTGTAGTGTGTCTGCAGAAGGAGTGTCACAGGACGGGAAGCTCAAGGCGGCTCTGTGCAACCAGAAAAACTACTCCCGTGACGCACGTGGCCTGCACATGAAAGACGTTTTGCACCTGACTGAACACCAGGCAACACATCCCAGGCAGAAACCAGATGCGTGTGAGGCATCTGGGAAAGGGTCAGAGTCCGGTGCAAACCTTCAGCAGCAGCAGAACATAGACAAGCCTGTCAGAAGGGATGAGGATAGGGCCTCCCTTGTGAAGAGCTGCAGAGATGACACATCAAAGGAGCCTCTCACAGTCAGGGAGGATGAGAAGGACTTCGGGGGCGGAATGGCCACATCTGGCTTTCTCCAGCGACAGGTCATTCACACAGTGGAGGAGCCTCCCCAGAGCACTGGCCTGCCAAGTCATAACAAGTGTGGTGAATTTGGGAACGCTTTCCCTGACAAACCCGCACCTGTTCAGCACCAGAGAACCCACACCGGGGAAAGGCCTTTTGAGTGCAACAAATGTGGGATATTCTTTAGCCACGCGTCCGGCCTCTCTCAGCACCAGAGAGATCACAACAGAGGAAAGCCTTATGAGTGCTGCGAATGTGGGAAGTTCTTCAGCCGACACTCTAGTCTCATGAGACATCAGAGAGTTCACACTGGGGAAAGCCCTTATGTGTGCAGCGAATGTGGGAAATTCTTTAGCCAAAGCTCCAACCTCATTCAGCATAAGAGGGTGCACACTGGAGAGAAGCCTTATGAGTGCAGTGAGTGTGGGAAGTTCTTCAGCCAGCGCTCCAACCTCATTCATCATAAGAAGGTCCATACAGGCAGAAGCGCTCATAAGTGCAGAGAGTGTGGGAAGTGTTTCACCTGCAAC